CGCTTCCATCTTGCTTGCTTGGCTTGCTGGCTTGTTTCTTGGCAGCTGACAGTCGAGACTGAGGCTGTGTGTTTATTTTGTTTGTGTGTGACGCCGTGCAATCGTGCACCACTCCACAGCGACAAGCATGGTCAGTTGGAGTGGGGCTGAGGGGGTGCTGTCGTTGTGGACCTTGTTCGTCGTCGTTGTTGTTGTGCTTGTGGGCGTCCTAGACTGGCGTGCCGCTTCGATGCACGCACAGCCTGCACTGCATCGCTGACTTGTGTTGTCATATTATTGACTGTGGCTCAACACCTTCAGAGCGACCGTGCTGACGAAGAGGAGCAGCCGCAGCAGCTCCAGGACCAGCAGAAGCAACAGCAGCAGCAACAGGAACAGCGTGACAACGCGGGATCAGAGCCAGCGCACCAGCCATCAACCCCCAAAACACCAGATCGACCGCCGTCCCGGTTTCAGAAAGTGCTGCAAACAGTAACAGAGGTGCGTGAGGTGCATCCATGCGTGTTTGTTCGGCTCGCGCTCAAACATCCACTGCAACACCTGCAAACTTCAACGAACAAGCCTTGCGTGCACTGACCCTCTGTCTTGGATTGATTGCTGCTTCCGTGTGTGATGTTGCTTGCCTCCGCCTTCAGGTGTTTTCCTCACCCAGTAGTAGCGCCGCAAAGAAAGGCAGGGGCAAGCGCACCGCCCAGGTCAGCGTGCGCAGCGTATTTTGCTACTTGTGGGGGAAGGGAGCAAGAGGCAAGTGTGCTGCTTGTTTGCATCGCGCCAACGCCCACACAATCATGTGCTCATCACCTGATGCTTGTATCTTCTCCGTGCGTGCGTGCGTGCGTGCGTGCGTGTGTGTGTGTGTGTGTGTGTGTGTGTGTGTGTGTGTGTGCGTGCGTGTGTGCGTGTGTGTGTGTGTGTGTGTGTGTGTGTGTGTGTGTGTGTGTGTGCGTGCGTGCGTGTGTGTGTGTGTGTGTGCGTGTGTGCGTGTGCAGGAACGCGAGGATGACGAGGATGAAGATGGAGGTGAAGCGTGGGACACGAGCACCGCTGACGAGCCTCATGCCTCCACAGCAACAACAACCACCAGCCTTGATGCCAGCATCATCACCTCTGCCATCCCTTGTAAGCTCCCTCACAGACAAAATGTGTGTGTGTGTGTATGTGTTTGTGCGTGTGTGTGCACATGTATATGCTGTATGCATGTGTGTGGTGTACGTGTGACAGGGGGCAACGCTATATCATCTGCTTGTCGCCAAACGATCACATTCTCTCACACACATGTGCGCATGAACACGTGCTGGAATACAACCAAAAGCTCCAGTAAAGTCGCCGAGCAAGCGCCCAGCAAAGGCCGCCAAGCGCGACTCATGGATCCCTGCCAGCCTCTTCCCGTACGCACGCACGCACGCACACACACACACACACACACACACACACACACACACACACACACACACACACACACACACACACACATTCTCTCTCTCTCTCTCTCTGCGTAGTCTTGACAAACACGTCGTCCAGGCCCACCTGTCACACCTCGCGCAAGTCCATGTCTCTCACAGCTTCGTACGATATCCTCCCCCCCCCAACAAACACACACACACACACACACACACACACACACACACACACACACACACACACACACACATACACACACACACACACAGGTGGGCGAGCTTGCGGAATGAGGAAGCACCGGCATCATCATCATCATCATCATCATCATCATCACCGCCAGCGTCATCATCCCGGCGGGATTCGTCATATGTGGCAGCCATCTTCTCCCCGCTCCTCTCCGTCTTCCGCACCCCAGACGCTGGTTGGCGTGGCACAGGCGATGCGTCTGTGTGTGTGTGTGTGTGTGTGTGTGTGTGCGTGTGTGTGTGTGTGCGTATGCGTGTGTGTGTGTGTGTGTGTGTATCGCACTCTATTTCTTGCTTGTCGCTTGCTTATTGGTTCATTGCTTACCTCCACCTCTGTGTCTCTCCACAACTCTCGATACCTCCCTCTCCCAACCATACAGACGCTGCTGCGCAAACGGAGCCGCCAGCTTCATCAACGTCCACAGCGACAACAAGCACGCGCCACGCAGCCACAGCCACATCAACAACAGCAACAGCAACAACAGCAACAACAACAACAACATCATCGACAGCAGCAAGGGCGACCCCCACCATCGGCGCCCCTGCGGACCTGCGGGAAGCAAACCGCCCAGAGAGCCACGACCTTGACCACCTCACAGGCCTCTCAGACGACATGTGAGATCGGCTCGTCTTTCTGTGTGCATCTGTCTGTCTGTCTGTCTGTCTGTCTGTCTGTCTGTCTGTTTGTCTGTCTGTTTGTCTGTCTGTTTGTCTGCGCGTGTGTCTGTGCGTACCTGCACGTCGTTGATCCACCACCCTCGACACCGCAACACGAATCCCAATCGTCGTCACCACCATCACCACCACAGGATCCGGTTTCTGCGCAGTCCCCCGCGCTATCCGCTCTTCTCCAAGCCCGGCCCGCTCCTCCCGCCCGCGCCGAAGGACGGACGCATGACCCTCGTCCTCGACCTGGTGTGTGTGTGTGTGTGTGTGTGTGTGTGTGTGTGTGTGTGTGTGTGTGTGTGTGTGTGTGTGTGTGTATTCGTGCGGTTTGCTTGTTTGTATCTGGTTGCATTTCTGAGCGTGCGCAATGCGCGTTGGAGTGAGTGTCTGCTCAGCAACGATGCTCACCAACAATGCCCTTCCCCTCCCACACACCATCCATGTTTTGCGTTGCGTTGCCTCAAGGATGAGACGCTGGTGCACAGCCTGACCACACCCGTGGCAGACGCAGACGTGGCGGTCAGTCCTTTCGCATGCTGTCGTGCGCATGCTACTGCGTTGCCTGATGACTTTGACACCAATTCAACCCTACGCTCTCACTCCACAGTGCTGTCTTCATCCCTTGGCTCTTGACTCTTGATCTTTGTTTGGTTCTTGCCTCTCTTGGTTGCATTTCAATTTGTTCTTCCTTGTCGTGTCGTTGCGGACGCTCGTACACTGGACCCTCACTTGTAGTTGTGCTCCTTCTCCTTCGACCACCCTCCCCCCTCCCTCAACATCCCACTGCTCAATGCCAGTTTGACATCAGTGCGCACGGCCAGTCGCTGCGCATCTACACGCGCGTCCGCCCGCACGCCCGCGATTTCCTGCGCAGGGTCGCCCAGGTGCGGGCAGATGGACCTATGCTCTGCTGTTTTGTGGTGGTGTGGTGGTTGCTATTGTCATTGTCATCGTTGCTATTGTCGAGCTGTCGTGGTGGTGGCGGTGGTGGTGGTGGTTGTAAGGGCGCCAGCTTGTGCATCAAACTTTTGCACATTGCTTCTTGCTTGTTCTTCAACAACAATTCACCCTTGCGCGTCACCCACCCATATACACACACTTATACTGATTGTCGTGTACACATGTTCGCACAATAACGACCACAACCACGACCACAACCACGATCACAACCACAATCACACAATCACACAATCACACACACACACCTGTGTACGCAGCGGTACGAGGTTGTACTGTTCACGGCGTCAATGCAGGTGTATGCAGACGCACTGCTGGAGCAACTTGACCCGCACAATGAATTTTTCCAGTGAGTGTTGGACTGGTGTATCTCGCGTGGCTGAAGCCTGGGTGCACTCCTGCTGGTGCACTTGCATGTGTGTGTGTGTGTGCGCCATGAAAGCTGTTTTCTCACCGCCGTGTTCACGTGCCTCACAACGAAAACCACACACACACACACACGTGCACACACACACGCACACACGCACACACACACACACACGTGCACAACACACACACACACACACACACACACACACACACACACACACACACACACACACACACACACACACACACACGTGCACAACACTCAACCATGTCGTCACTGCAGCCACCGCCTGTTCCGGGAACACTGCGACTTCCAGTTTGGGATTCACTTGAAGAATCTGACGCGGCTTGGACGAGATCTCCGCCGTGTCATGCTCGTAGACAACTCCCCGCAGGTCTTTGCATACCAGGTCAGCTATCTCTGTGTATGTGTGTGCTTGTGGGCTTGTTTGTTTGTTTGTTTGTGTGTGTGCGTGTGCGTGCGTGTGCGTGTGTGTGTGCTTGTTTGTACACATGTGTGTGTGTGTGTGCTTGTTTGTATATTTGTGTGTGTGTGTGTGTGTGGGTGGGTGTGTCTGTGTGTGTGTGTGTGTGTGTGTGTGTATTTCTCCCTCTCTCTGTGCCTGTGTCTGTGTGTCACCTGCGGCCCCTTCCACGACCACCCTCATCACACTGCGACCGCTCCCTGTCCCAACGTCACGCCCGTGCCGTCGATATCTGCACCAGCTGTCGAACGGCATCCCGATCATCACGTGGTCGCAGGATCGCGCCGACCGCTCCCTGGCCATCCTCGCAGACTACCTCGACGCCCTCGCAGATATGGTGCGCTGGCTGCTGCCGTATCGCTGCCGCTCGTTGTTGCTTTTCGCAGTGTTTCATCAACGACTTATACCCACTCTTATGCGTGCCGAGCTCTGTCTCACCAACGCACACACACGCGCGCGTGCACTCATACACACACACACACACTCTCTCTCTCTCTCCCACACTCTCTCGCTCACTCGCGCACGCACTCATGTACGCTCACACACATGCAGAACCCGTCGGATGTGCGGCCGTATGTGCGGGATCGGTTTCGCCTGCACGAGCAGCTGGGCCGCAGCTTCTCTCCGCTCATGCTTGACCCGAGTGGCAGCGGTGAGGCCATGGACGGCAGCCCTCCACGCCCCGTGTTCTTCGCGCCATCGCTGGCACACGGACACGCGCACGCGCGCCACACACCGCCACGCCGCCCCCATGCGGTCGCCTCGCCATCGCCACGGCGGCTGGCACCGCGCTTTGCCCTTCCCCGTAGACAACGCCGCTCCCTCGGGCCGGATGGTGACGACACAAACGGCGATGATCGCCATGATAAGAGTGGCAGCAGCAGCAACACGAAGGCTGACGACGATGAGAGGAGCGCCTTTGTTGCGACTGCATCAGTTACGAATGGACGTGCGGGCCACAGCGGGGACAGCAGTGCGTTCACGTCCACGGCGTCCCTGACCGCCTCCTCTCCTGCTTCATCACCGCTGTCATCGTCGTCGTATATTCCCGCTCGACGCGAGACCATGACGGTGGAGGTGATGTCTTCATCGCTGGCTGAGCACAGGGCGCGGCTGATGGCCCGCCGGCCCCGCGCCCGCAGGAACTCCTTCCGCACCTCCTTTACCGCCAGCATCAACATCAATGAGACACACACTACCACGACTACCACCACCACCGACAACAGCAGCAGCAGCAGCAGCAGCAGCATAAGCGATGGTGGTGATGGTGGTGTTGGAAGTAAGGGGAAGAATGGCGTCAGACGGCATGTGGCATCCTCGCCCGCGTCCAAGAGAAATAGTGGTGTGGATGGCGGGATTGCTGCCTCCACGGTTGGGGTGGGCAGTCCCATTGCGACGCGTCGCAGAAGAATCGCGCGACCCACAGCCTACAACACAGAAACAGCAACCACAACAACAACAACCACCACACCAAGCTCAGCCACAACAGCAGCAACAACAACAACAGAAACAGCAATTTCAACAGAAACAGCAACAACAAAGGCAACATAGACAGCAACAGGAGCCCATGCCCAAGCTGGCCAAGCACGAGGCATGGCATGACGTGTGCCACACCACATCATACCACACAATAAGCATGACGACTGTACATTTGAATCCCTCGTTCCCCACAAGAGCCTTCGTGTTTGCTTGCTTGCTTGTTTTCTTCGTTCGTGTGCTTTGTTTGAGAGACACGATAACAACAACTCCTGTTCCTTGTTTGCATTTTTCTCCAACCTTGCTTGTACATACATACTTCCTCCCCACCTATGGTAGCCGCCACATTCCTTTCACTTGCTTGCTTGGCTGCTTGCCGTTGTCATCGTCGCCACTGATAGCCAAGCCACCCGCGTCCATGTCGCATTCACTGGCGCTTGCTTCTTGCTTGTTGCTTGCTTGCTTGTCATGTCGCCTTGTTGTTGCCTGCAGGCAGCAGTCTTGTCACTGGCTGCGGAATAAACTAGGAAGTCTTTCGCAAAACATACAATGAAATTTCGCATCCGCCAACCAAAACACCCACAAAACAAGCGCACCACAACACAAAGCAAAAACCGCACCCATTCAAACAAGGCCACGAGAAGAAGGACGCCACACCACTCTGCTTGCTTGCTTGCTTCTTTGCTGCTGCCGTCAATGCTGGCTGCTGGATCGTGGATGCAGCAGCTCCTTCTCCCTTGTTCTCCCTTCTTCGCAGCTCCCATCTCTTCTCTCTCCTCGTTATTGCAGCAAACCACCCTCAGCGCCCTCACAGCCGCTTCGCATCACCTCTTATCCTTTGAATAACCGCGTGCTTTCCTTCCCTTCTGCCTGCTGTGGAACGGCTTGTGACAACCACATCAAAGAAGTTCTCCCGCACACTCGTCCACAAAGGCCTTCCCAACCCAGCGTTCTAGCGTTTCTCTTCTTCCTTGGATTAGCAACAACACGCGCCCACGTGCACCATAAGCACACGCATTCGCGCACGCTGTGTGTCCGAGCACGCAGCCCCGATTGCGCGCAGTGGAACCAGGCTACGAATGCTTGCAAGCACTGCAGCGCGGCTGCTCGTGGCAGCGGCAGCGCTGGCATGTGCGTTGTTGCCACCCAATAGTGGGGCACGTGGTCAGGCTGTGCTGCTTGATCCACCACGGCAAGACACAGCCGTCTCCTTCAACGAGGCCGACGGCTCTGTGTTCTTCTGCCAGCGTGCCTCCCTGACTGCAGCATCAATATCACACATGACCATCACAGTCGACCCCATCACCAGCACCCTCGAGGGCCTCACCGCGGTACGTTGTATGCCAGCGTTTTGTGTGTTTGTTGCATGCAAGCAAAGCAACCGAGCACGTGTTTGAGTGTCCACGCAGTCCTGCTCTTCTTCATCGTCTAACGTGTGCGCCATTGTGTAGCCTGTGCGTGTCTGTGTGTGTGTGTGTAACAATGTGCTAATGTGTGTGTTTGTGTGTGTGTGTGTGTGTGTCTGTCTGTATGCATGTATGTGTGTGTGTAACAATGTGCTAATGTGTGTGTTTGTGTGTGTGTGTGTGTGTGTGTGTGCTATGTAGCGCTGTGCGCGTCGACGCGTGCACTGTGCGCTGCTGGCTTGCACAGCACAGCAGCTGTACATCGCTGTCACTGCCCATCACGTGACTGTTGTTCACGGTTTCTGCTCTTACTCGTGCCATCCTCCTGCCTACCCCTTCCCCCCCCGCCGCTCACATGTCTCCATCCCTTTCCCCTCTCGATGTCGTCCATCCGCTTGCCGCTGTTCATTCTCCACGACCTAACGACACAAACAGGCCTCGGACACGCTGTCCATCTCGTATTCGTCCGATGACGGCGTGTTGACCATCGACGGGCCCGGCTCCGTCGCAGAATTCCAGTCTGCGTTGCAGAGCGCCCAGTTCTTCTCCTTCGAGAGCCCGCCAAACCGTGCTGAGCGCACGGTCTTGGTGAGTGCGTTTGAGGATGACGCATCGGTGCTTGGCAGCGCTGTTGCTTCGGTGTTCTTTGGTGCCGTCGTCATTCCGCCACGGCTGGATCTCAACACGTCAGACAACGCCCAGCCAACGCAGATTGGCAGCACGGATCCCCTGGACGCACAGGTCCTCTTCACAGAGGGCTCAGCTGCCATGACGCTGTTTCCAGACGCTCTCGTCCTTGATGAAGCAGATAACGTCACCACAATTATGCTCACGTCATCCATCAGCTTTCCTGACGGCGATGCTGAAGTGTTCATGGCGCTCCCGGGTGTTTCTCTCGAAACCACAGACGCCAGCGTCACCATCACGTAGGTCTATGCGCCGTTACCGGTCATGCATAGATGCATGTAATTCTGTCTGTCTCTGTGTGTGTGTGTCTGTCTCTGTGTGTGTGTCTGTGTCTGTCTGTCTGTCTGTCTGTCTGTCTGTCTGTCTGTCTGTCTGTCTGTCTGTCTGTCTGTCTGTCTGTCTATCTCTCTGTGTCTGTGTGTGACTTTGTTGTATCACCGATGATCCCTCATCCCCTTGACTCCTCGTCCCCCCGTTCCTTTTGAGTCTTGATTCACAACTCGCCCCCCCCCCCCTTCCCAACATCCACATCACTCTCCCACACTAACATCAACGCTACCACCATGGTAGGTTGCCTGCTGCGACAACATCTGAGGAAGCAAGTGTGGTGCTGCAGACGCTGAAATACAGGAACACCGCAGATGAGCCAACGGCTGGCCAGCGCACCTTTTCTGCAGTTGTCACAAACGGGGCGGGGCTTACCTCCGAGGCGGCAACGCTGAAGCTGACGGTGCGCACCATCAACGACCATCGCCCCTCCCTCCTTCTCGATGCCTTCACGGTTGAGGAAGAAAAAGCCGGCGCCGTAGGCCGCCTGATTGTTGTGGATGGCGATCGAAACCAGCCCTCGTCAGGTACGCCCACCATCACCATCATCAACAGCACGCTGGAGGACGGCGCCGTGACCATTTCGCAGACCCACACGCTCCTGCTCACACGCCCAGTGGACCGTGACACCGAAGCGGACGAGGTTGTGCTGACAGTACGCCTTTCCGATTCGCAGCTGCCGCCACTGACCTCCGTGCAGCTCGTCACCATCACGCTGACAGACGTCAACGACAACGCCCCGGTGTTTGACGCAGCCACGGTGCCGTCCACGCTGATCGTGCCGGAGACCACAACCGCGGGTGTGTCCCTCGCGCTCCTTGAGGCCACAGACCTGGACAGCGGTGACAACGGGCGTGTGCGCCACCGCATTGCGTCCTCAATGCCGTCACAGGCGCCCTTTGTCATTGACGCCGCCTCGGGCGAGCTGTTCCTGTCGCAGGCCGTGGACTACGATGTCGAGGACAGCTATCAGCTGGTGGTTGAGGCTAGCGACCAGGGCGACGTGTGTCAGGTGGAGCAACCCGCAACGGATGGCCCATGCGTGACCACCCACGTCCTGGACATCACCATTGCCAACCAAAACACCATCGCCCCCACCATCAGCAACGTGCCCGCGTCGGTGACCACGACGGAGAATGACCCCCCGCTGGCCCCGCTGGCCTCCCTCGCCCTTGATGAAGGCGATGGGTTTGACACGTGGGCGCAGGCAAGCGTATCCTTCACGCGTCAAGCCGCCTTGTCTCGCCTGCTCACCTGCCCCAACCAGGCCTCCTTTGCGCCCCGCGCCGGGGTCTGGGACACATGCGGCTTTAGCACCACTGCTCCGACGCCGCTGTTTGCTGACGCCGTCGCACGCGGGGACGCAACGCTGGTCAACCAGCAGATTGCGCTGCTGCCATCGACGGGCCAGGGCCACGTGGCCGTCCCTGACACCACCTACCAGGCCGTGCTCCCCGTGCTCCGCTCCGGCTTCCACATCACAGCGTGGATCAAACAGGCCGCGGGCAACAGTGGATACCTCCTCGCCGTCACGTCCCCAGACACCTCAAAGCAGTACCTGGGCGTGTTCTCGCAGCCAGCCAGCGGCATCATTAGCGTGCTGTATGAGCGCGACACCGCGCCTGCAGGCGTGTCTTCCCTCACCACCCTGCGCTTCGCCGTGCCTGCACAGGTCTCCCTCGCGGACGGCACGTGGCACCTCCTGTCTGTGGCTCTCCGCGGCGTGTCGGCTCGCCTCGTCATCGACTGCACGCCCGTGCCCCTGCAGAGCATCGAGTACTTCACCGCCGCTTCCGGTGGTGGTATGCAGGCCGTGACTAACACGGCGCCCACCACGCTGCCTGGCCGCCCCGTGTTTGGCGACGACGCCATGTTCCTGGTTGGCGTCCGCCCTGTTGGCGCCACGGGGACCCGGTTCCCATTTGCCGGCGACGTGGCTGCGCTGTCTGTCCTGCCCGAGGACAACTCTCTGGCAGACGCGCACTTGCGCTGGTGCTGCGCTCTGGGCTGCGGCACCTACGCCACCGTCGACCTCACACGCACGACTGGCGGCGCACCCGCACATACAGACGTGTTCTCCCAGGCGACAGTGAACGCACAAGGCCTGGACCTGGCATCGCTGCGCTTGAACGGGCCACACAGCATCACCGCCCAGCCCAGCGAAGGCGCCGTCCTGAGCACGGCTGCGTTGCAGCTGCTGCTGCGACTGACAGTGGTTGGCTACGCCCTGGACGAGCCAGCCATCCTTACTCAACAGCAACAACAACAACAGCAACAGCAACAGCAGCTCTCCTTGGTGGTGGATGACGGTGGCCTGGAGGCACGCGCAGACATCAGCATCAGCATTTCAGCCGTCAACGATCACGCGCCAGTTCTCGACCTTGGCGGCACCGACGGCAACTACGCTGCCGCGTTTGTTGAAGAGGGCGATCCAACACCGCTCTCTGCACCGCAGCTGCTCGTCATCACAGATGCCGACGTACCCTCAAGTGGCCAGCCTGCCAACATGATCGCGACGGCCGTCATCACGCTGGAGAACGCGCCTGATGGTGCTGGTGTTGAGGTGCTGGGCTGGGACCAGCAGCTGGCCACCACGCTCGGTGCCACTGTCAGCGTGCGCACAACGCCCAGCCCTCGCCTGACCATGACAGGCCCACTGTCGCTGGCGGATTTCGCCTCGCTCCTGTCCACCATCACGTACACCAACACTGCGAACGAGCCGCAGGGCACCACGCGCGTCGTCACCTGGCGCGTGTCCGACGGCGTGCACGACAGCGAGGAGCGCACAACCATGGTCTCCATCGCTTCCAAGAACGATGCGCCACAAGTGTTTGCTGGCGGCAGCACCAACTCCGACAACACCGTCACCATTGTGGAGGGCGAGGCAGCCGTGCAGCTGTGTCCGGACGCCGTCCTGCTCGACAGCGACGACACGCAGCTGCGGTCTGTGACGCTGCAGCTCCTCAACACGCCAGACAACGACGCATTCAACGCAACAGTCGAAACCCTCTCCGTCGACACTGCTCTCGCCACCCTGCTCAACCTTACGGTTTCCACCACCGTCACCTCCCCTACCGATAACGACAACAACGAGAATGGGTTGGCTGCACGCGTGCAGCTTGTAGTATCCGTGCAGCAGCAGCAGCAGCAGCAGCAGCAGCACACACAGTCGATTGGCGCGTTTGTGGCAGTGCTGCGAACTGCTCGATACACGACAACACTGTCAACCCCAAGCAACCCTTCCACTGAACCGAGGGAGTTGAACGTGATTGCCGTGGATGCTCAGGGCCTGGCAAGCGAGCCTGCGCACATCACCCTCTTCTTCACCGCCATCAACAACGCACCCTGGGTCGATGTCAATGGGCCCGATGCACCGGGCACGGACGCCACCGCGGTGTTCCACGAAGGCGACCTGCCGCTTATGGTCTGCTCGTCGGCAACCATCATGGACGTGGACTCGCCCATGCTCTTCCGCGTTGTGGTGGAGCTTGTGGACGGCGTGATGGACGGTGCCTTTGAGGGCCTCACCATCCCTTCCTCTGCCTTACCCAGCGGTGTCACCATCACCCGACGCAACAGCGATGCGGTTCTCGTGCTTGAAGGGCAGGCAACCCCTTTGGCCTACGCCCAAGCCGTGCAACAGCTCTCCTACTTCAACTTTGCAGATGAGCCTGTGCCCGGTGTGCGCACCATTGTGGTGTCGGTGACGGACGGCGGCGACAGCAGCGCAGATTTCGATGCTGAAACAGGCATGGCCAGCGTCACTGTTACGGTCGTGTCTGAGAACGACCTTGCGCCCTTCTTCCTCACACCAGTCAACGCCACCACGAGCGTCAGCGAGAACACAGCAGCAGGGGCAGTTGTCGCGCGGATCGCCGTTGCGGACGAGGACTTGGGCATCCCAGCCAACCTCACGCTGAACGTTGTGGGCGTCTCGTACGCGCCAGCACCATCGTCGTCGCCATCGCCTGTGCCAGCTTTGGACATATCATCGTGGTTTGCGCTGCAAGTGACTGCCTCGCTTTCGCCGGAATGCCCGCAAGCAGAGGACGTTGTGTCCCCGGACTGTGCGGGCTCTTCGTGTGTCGGCGATGATGATTGCGTTGGCTTCCAGGTCTGCTGTCCAGTGGCGTGTGGCTCCGTGTGCGTGGACCCAACACCGTACACGCTGCACGCGGACGTGGTGGTCACCGGGCTGGACACCATTGACTTTGAGCGTGTGCACCAGGTGGCCCTGGACCTCGAGGCAGCGGACGCTGAATTCACCCACACCGTATTGGGCTCCGTTACCATTGGCATCCTGGACACCAACGACAACAGCCCGTCGTTTGCGGACGATGAATACGTCGTCACGGTGCCGGAAGACTTGCTGCTAGACTCCGTGCTGGTGGTCGTTGAAGCCACAGACGCGGATGCAGCGCCGTTCAACGTGCCGCTCTTCTCCGTCGCCCAGGACGTGCTCAACGCCTCCTTCTGCCGCGTGAACGCCACCACGGGCGAAGTGCACCTGGCCCAGCACCTCAACCGCGAAACAGAAGCAGAGGTGCAGTGCATTGTACAGGTGGCAGACGCCGGCCGCCCGGGCGTCGTGTCGGACACCGCACGCGTGCGCGTGCTGTTACGCGACGTGAACGAGGCGCCACCCGCCTTCCCTTTTGAATCGCAGATGCTGCCCGTGTCTGAGGATGTGCAGGTCGGGTATGAAATCATCTCCTTCATGCTAACAGACGCCGACCAGGCGCCACCCAACAACGCCATCACTGTGGAGCTCCTGCCCGAAAGCCCCTCAGAACCCGGCACGGGTCCCGGGCCGCTGCCCTTCGAAGTGCAGGTCGTTGACCAGTACAGCGTTGTCGGGGCAGCGGGCGAGCTGAGTGTGCGTGTTGTCACCAACGCTACCCTGGACCGTGAGAGGCGCCAAGCGTACGCCTTGCGGCTCCGAGCAATGGACGGCGACGCTACCATGCCGGAGAGCGAGCGCATGCTGGCTTACGCTGTGGTGATTGTGCTCGTATCGGACGTCAACGACAATGCGCCCCTGTTCAGCGCAGTGCAGGGCCAGCAGCTGCGATGGAGTGAGGACACGCCCGTCGGCACAGTTTTGCTGGAACTTGATGTCACTGACGCGGACATCTTGGACAACGCGCGCATCACCACCAGCATTCGCGCCCAGAGCCCAGCGAACACGCTTCGCGTGGAGATGGACACACTCGAAGTTGGCCAGCAGCGGGTGGCAGTTGTGCTTGCGGCGCCGCTCGACCGCGAGACAGCGCCCACCATCGCCCTTCGCCTGCTGGCCACAGACGCGGGAACGCCCGTTGCCATGTTCTCCACGCTGGAGCTCAACCTCACCGTGACAGATGTCAACGACAATGCGCCCGTCTTGACCGTGTCGCCGTTCGGCCGCAGCGAGCCGGAGTCGTCCTCCTCATCACCGCACTACCCGCTGGTTGCCTCCACCGTCACCGATGCCGACGCAAGCTTGGGCATTACCGGGGCCGCTGTGCGCGCGTACACTGAGCGCGACCCGGCGCTGGAGTCATGCACGGCGCAGTCGGCGTCCACTGTCTGCCTGTCAGCTGCCCTGGACGTCACCGGGGCCATGGTGCCTGCAGGCACGCTCGCCACAGACCCCGCGTACGACAGCGCGGACGGCGCGGAGGTGTGGCTGTTCAACGGCAACAACGCCTATGGCGTCGTGCAGACGCAGACGGTGCAGGCTTTCGGCTCCGTTGCTGGCGGCAGCTTCTCGTCCTCGTGCTGGTTGCGCGTGGCACAGGACAGCGACGGCGGATACGTGTACGCCAAGACGAATGCAGCCGGAGACGAGCGCTTCTATGCGCTCTATCTCTCCAGCCAAGCCGAGGAGCTGTGGTTCTCCTACCAGCGAGAGCGCGGCACGGGCGTGCCGGCGGCAAACGCCCGCGTCACCGCCAAGTTCTCCTCGCCGGCGCTGATGGACAACGCGTGGCATCATGTCGCTGTGAGCGTGAACCACATCTCCAGCACGGTTGTTGCCTACGTTGACGGCGCTGCGCTGGGGGACCCCGTGATTGAGGAGCGCAATGATGCCGGCACGCGCCTCGACCCGCACGGCAACCCGCTCACGTCCGCGCTGACCGACGGCGAAGGGCTGCTGCTGGTTGGTGCGCGCAGCTCCCCCTCTGGCGCCTCTCTCCTGTTTGAAGGCCAGCTGTCGTCACTGCTGTTTACGCGCCGTGCAATCAATCGCGCCCAGCTTGGGTGCCTTGTGCAGTGCTCCCAGCCCCTGTTGGACGCCACAACCGGCTCCAGCTCATCATCATCATCGTCGTCGTCGTTGTTGCAGCAAGAGCGGCCCATGGTTGCAGGCAGGTGCACGGACGCCAGTGCCGCCGCGCGGGTTGTGGACGCCTGTGGACTGGGTGCTGCCGAGCTGCCTCTGCAAGAGCTGCGAGCACTGCAGCCACGCAACTTTGACACGCGCGAGGACACGCTGTTCATGACGCCGACCGGGTACACGCCCATGCCCGTTGGCAGCCTGAGCCCCTCACGCATCTCACCAGAGTCAGGGGTGCTGCTCGTGTGCACGTGGATGCAGTTTCTGCTTTCGCGCAACGACAGGTCCGGCTATCTGTTTGCCAAGACGAGCATTGATGGCAGCACGCGCTTCTACACGCTGTACGTGCGGGAGGCAAGCCAGGAGCTGTGGTTCTACTACAAGCAAGCCGGTGCAAGCGGGGTTGCGTCGCGCGTGCTGGTCAGGTTTTCCGTGCCCGCGCTGTTTGAGGACGACCTGCCGACCTGGCACCACGTGTGCATTCGCGCCAACAACCTCACGCTGCACGCCATTCTGGACGGCCAGCAGGTGGCGCCAAGTGCAATCACGTCCCGCAACCGCGAGACCGGCGAGAACGAAGGGCCATACACGTTGCCGCTCCGGTACCGCTTGGATGACGGCGCGGGCGTGTTTGTGCTTGGTGCTCGCAACGAATCCGCAAGCAGCGCATCAGGTTCGCTCGCGGCACGCGTGGCTGACACGCTCGTTGCGTTTTCCAACGTTGCCGGCACGGACGCGTGGCGCTGCGTTGCCAGGTGCGGTGCGCTGTTGTCTGTGACGGTGCCGTCGAGCGTGAACAGCGGCAGGACGGTTCCCCTTGCCACCACGACCAGCAGCGGCGGCGATGAGTTGCACATTGTTGTGGATGCAGGGTCAAATCCGCTCTCCGCCAGCGACGCTGTGGCGGTTCTTGAGAGCGTGCAGCTGAATGTGCAGCTGCTGCAGCCGCTTCTCCTCAGCCCGGCCGCAACGGCCATCGGGGGCGGGGGCAGTGCACAGCAACCCTGCTTCACGGCCAGTGCCAGCGTCTCCGATCAGGACTTTGAGAGCGCGCTCGCATTCTCGGAGACGTGCTTGACCGCCGAGAACGAGCACGCCGTGGTCGTGGATCTGGATGTCACGGATGGTCCCGCCAGCACGAATCCCAACGCCTCGCGCACCTTCGTGGAGGAGCAAGGCACGCCCACGGCGCCACTGCGCCACGTGTTTGTGTACGACAGCGATGAAACCACAAACGGCCTACAGCTCAATGTGACGCTCCTCAACCCATTGGACGGACCAAGTGCCGAGTCCCTCACGTTTGACACAGACGCAGTCGCTGCGTTAGGCACGTCATCGCGCAGCACGCATGCGCTCACTGGCACGGGTTCCCTCTCGGCCGTCTTGGACGTTCTGGGAACACTGGGCTACATCAACACTGCGGACGAGCCAACGTTTACGCAGCGCGTGATTGAGGTTCGTATCGCGGACAGCAATGGCCTAGAGGCGCAGCCACCGGCGTACATGCTCGTCACCCTGGAGAGCGTGAACGACAGACCAGTGCTCTCGGTCGTGCCCAACAGTGTCGGTGCGTACAACGAGGATGCAGCTGCATATCACGTGCTCTCAGATGCAGTTGTCACAGACTCGGATTCGCGTCTGCTGCGCGAGGCACTCGTGGAGTTTGTGCAGCGCCCCAACGGCGAGCAGGAAATCCTGTTTGTCAACAGCACCGTTGTGGATCAGGTCGCCACACCTGCGGGCCTGTCCATTGGCTTTGATGAGCAGGTGGGCGTGTTGCTCATCTCGGGCACCGCCCCTCTGTCCACGTACGCCACCCTCTTGGCCTCTGTCCTCTATCGCCACCTGGACACGGAAAACCCCACCCTCGGCACAAGGTATTGTGTGTGTGTGTGTGTGCGTGTGTGTGTGTGTGAATGTGTTTGTAAGAGTGTGTACGCGTGTGTTTGCGTGAATGTGGGTTTGCGTGTGTGTTTGCATGTGTGCGTGAATGTGCGTTTGCAGTTGTGTGTGTGTGTGTGTGTGTTTGCATGTTGTGTGTGTATGCACGCACATGAAATATCATATCTGCTTGGCTCCGTCCTTCTCTTCTCTTCCACAACAACATTTGCACATCTTACGCAAACACATATTCACGCATTCCCGTCCCTCCATCACTTCCTCTCCCAATCCCCACCAACCACGCAAACAAAACAGGCGACTACAGCTGACGGTGACAGACCCCACGGGCTTGCAAAGCGATGAGCAGACGGTCGAGTTTTCGCTGCTGACCAACAGGGATGCCCCAATCTTCGACCTGTCGCAAGTGGACCTTGCACCCGCGTTTGTGGAGGGCGACGCTGCACTGCCGCTCCTGGCGTTGGCCGGCCTGCGCGATGGCGACAGTGCAGAGCTTTCAACGCTTGAAGCAGAGGTGGTTGATGTTGCTGACGCCAACATGGAGGTGCTGATGATCGACCCCAGCAGCTTGCTGGACCCAGACAGCGTGACCATCACAACGACAGGTGGTGGCGCTGTGGTCTCCGTGACAGGCCCAGCGCCCGTGAACGTGTTTGAGCAGCTCCTGCAGACGCTCACCTACACCAACCTTGCGGATGAGCCCTCGCCCGGGGAGCGAACCGTGTGCGTGACTGCAACAGACACCAGCTTCGCCGCAACCCGCGTGTGTCTGGGCCCAACAGTGGTTCCGCTCAACGACAACGCGCCGCAGTTCTCGCAGTCCGTCTATGTGCACAGCGTTGACGAGAACCAGCCCGCATCCACACCAGTTGGTTCTGTGGCCGCCACGGACGGCGATATGTTTGACAGCACCCTCGTGTACGGCATCACCTCCTCACAGCCCTCACCGGCACCGTTTGAGATCGACCCAGCAACGGGTGCGATCAGCACAACGGCCACGCTGGATCGTGAGGCCATTGCCCTGTACACGCTGCAGGTGTCCGTGAGCGACAGCAGCACGGAGCAGCCTGCCCGCACGGCAACAGCCATCGTGCTCGTGGATGTGACTGATCTCAACGACAACACGCCTCGCTTCACAGTGTCACCGCCAAGCACGCTGCACGTTGCGGAGAACGCGGGGGGACGCGTTGTCCTGGCAACGCTGCATGTAGCCGACGCGGACGAAGGGCTCAACGGCCCACCTGGACTCTCCGTCACCGTTGAACGAGGCAGCGACGCCGTTCGCATCGCGGATGAGGGCAACGGCATGCCACAGGTTGTCACGGCACGGTCCTTTGACTTTGAAGTGGAGCAGACCATCGCCGTTACGCTTCGCCTCGCTGACAGCGGCACGCCGTCGCGTAGTGTAACGGCAAACATGACGCTGCTCATCTCAGACACGAATGACAACGCGCCCGTGTTTTCCAGTAGCACGCCCGCGCTCGTGCGTGTCCGTGAGGAGATTCCCTTGGGCAGCCTGGTGACGCAGGTGGCGGCGACGGACGCGGACCGGGGCGCAAACGCATCCGTCCACTACCAGTTCAACACAACTGCAATGACAGCTGCCGCCCTGGCCACGTTTGAGATTGGCGCTGGCAGCGGCGAAATCCGCACGCAAGCGCGTCTGGACTTTGAGCAGCAGCGCGCATTTGAGCTGGTTGTGCAGGCTGTTGATGACGGCACGCCCACGCAGCAAGTGACGCAGCACACAATCCGTGTTGAGATTATCGACGTGAACGACCACACCCCTCAGTTCTCGCAGGATGTGTTCTTTGCCACGGTTGCAGAGCACGCTAGTGCTGGCACCTCCGTTGTTCTGAAGGGCGGCGGCAGTGGCGTGTCGCTCGTGGTCATGGATGCAGACACGCTGGCCGCAAACACGGACGTTGTGTACAGTCTGCTGTTTGATGTGGGCTCCCCTGTTGCCGGTGCCGTGGCGATTGACGCAAACACAGCGAACGTGACCGCGACACTCATCGGTGGTGCTTTGCTGGACCGGGAAGAGGTGCCCTGGTTCACCGTGACTGTGCTTGCCAACTCCACCGTGGCGCCGTTCCTGTCCAACACGGCTGTCCTCAACATCACGCTGCTGGACATCAACGACAACGCGCCCGTGCTTGGCCCGCTTCCACACCAGGTTGACGTACCGGAGGACGCAGCGCTGGGCACGCTGCTGCTGTCGCTCACGGCAACAGATGCAGATGCTGCACTTGCGGGCACCGTCCGCTTCTCCATGCGTGCAGGCAGCACCTCGCCCTCGCAGCAGCTGCCGTTTGACGTGGACGCTGTCACGGGCCGAGTCACGCTGGCAGCGCCCCTCGATCGTGAGGCCGTGAGCACATACACGCTCGTGTTCACAGCCACAGATCTCGGCGAGCCACGCCTGCCGTCCAACGAAACCACCGTGCTGGTTGTGGTGACGGATGTCAACGACAATGCGCCCCACTTCACGTCCATTATGGTCGTGTCGCAGATTGAGGAGCAGTCGCGTGCTTCCGTGGGAACATTTGTGGCCGAAGACGACGACGAAGGTGTCAACGCGCAGCTGACAGCGTTCTTGCGCGTGCACACTGCCGATGGCACAGACGTCACCGGCGCAGGTATTTTCAACATCTCGCAGCCCTCACCTCTGCAAGCCGCGGACAGCGTCGCTGTTGCGCGACCAGCGCTGCTGGACAGGGAGGTGCTAGGCGACGTGCTCAACGTGTCCGTGTGCTTGCGTGACGGTGGTTCACCGCCGCTGCAGACGTGCATGGCGTTTGAGGTGCAGCTTCTGGACATCAACGACCACGCGCCCGTGTTTGACGCCGCTGTTCCAAATGCAGTGGACGTGATTGAGACGACGGCTGTACCGTCGCGCATCGTGCAGCTGCTTGCCTATGACCTTGACACGGGCGCCAACGGAGACGTGGAGTTCTTCCTGAACAGCACGCGGCCGGCCAACGCCCCATTTGCTGTTTCGCAGCAAGGGATGGTGTTCTTGTCTGGTCCCTTGGACTTTGAAATGACAAAGGAGTATGTCGTGACTGTGGTTGCGCGTGATGGTGGCAGTCCACCGATGCAAGCCTTCCACACTATCACCGTCAGTGTGCTGGATGCAAACGATAACACGCCTTCCTTTGTGGGTGCCCCGTACAGCGTGTCTGTTGCCGAGAACGCTGCTGTTGGCTCCTTCCTCTCGCTGCAACTCGCTGCCACAGATCCAGACACGGTTGCCAGCAACCTCATGTTCAGTTTGGAGAACGCAGCTCCCAGTGCCGACTTTCACGTCACATCGGATGGCCGGGTGCAACTGACGTCGCCGCTGGACCGCGAGACCTTTGCTTCATACGCCCTTCTGGTACGTGTCTGTCATGTGCGTCGTGTGCGTCGAGGAGTATGTGTGTATTGTTCATGTGAGTGTGGCTCACAAGTATGTATCGTGTGCGCGTCGAGAAGTATGTGTGTATTGCACATGTGAGTGTGACTGAGTGTTTATCGTGTGCGCGTCGAGTATGTGTGTGTTGTAAGTGTGAGTGTGACTGAGTGTGTATTGTGTGCTGTACAAGTGTGTATTGTGTCCGTTTATTGTCAACACGTGAATCTGTTTGCCTGTGTGCATGTGTTTGCGGTGTGGAAGGACCACGTGCTGTGCGCCCTCCCCCAGGCCCAAAGCTTGTCCCATTCCAACTCACGCACGTCTCACCGCCATTATCACACTCATCCGATTCAACTCTTAGGTGGCTGTGCGGGATGGAGATGGACACGCGGACACAGCGACCGTTGGCGTGACCGTCACAGACACAAACGACAACGCACCCGTGTTCGACAGGGGAGGGTATGAGTTTGTTGTTGATGAGAACGCTGCTGTGGGCACACCGCTCACACCAGAGACGGCCACGATCGCAGCAACAGATGCTGATGCTGGCGCAAACGCGCAGATTCGCTTTTCCATCACCACCACCACGGCTACTGTTCCGTTTGGCATCAACACGACCACTGGCATGCTGTACACGGCAGCGCCACTGGACTTTGAAGCAGAAAGCGTGCACGTCTTTCGTGTTGAAGCAACAGATCTGGGCACACCGGCACTGAGCACAAGTGCCCCTGTCGTTGTTCGCGTGCAGGACACGAACGACCACGCACCCTCCGTGACGTTCAGTGAAACGGCTGCGAGCGCCGTTGTGTTTGAGGAGGATGGCGGCGCCGTGTTCTTGTTTGACGACCGCCTGCAGTTGACGGACGCAGACGTGGACTTTCAGCGCCTTGAAAGCGCGACGCTCGTGCTGACAAACGCACGGGACAGTTTGGCCGAAGAGCAGCTGCTGCCACAGCTCCTGTTTCCTGGCATTACCACCAGCGAGGGTGTGAACGCAAGCACGTCCACGCGCACGCTGGCGATTCGAGGGGAGGCGACCATCCCCGCGTACCTGCGCATGCTGCGCTCTGTGCAGTACACCAACACCGCACAGGAGCCGCTGCCGGGCCGCCGCACCCTCACTCTCACCGTGAACGACGGCGTGCATGTCTCGCAGCCCTTGCAGGTGACGCTCTCTGTGCGCCAGCTGAACGACCGCCCCACCAGCAGCGTGTCCGCCTTCAACGCCCTGACCATAGAGGAAGACAGCACAAATCCGCCCGCCTTTGACGTTTGCGCTCTCGTTGACCAGCTTGGCTCCGATGTGGACCCGCAGCCGAGGCGTGGCCTCGGTATTGTCGTCGTCGGCGTGCAGGCGTCCGCTGGCACGTGGCAGTACGCCCTGCGGTCTGGCGGCCAGTCCGGGCCCTTCACGGACATGACCGATATTTCCCTCACGACGGCGCTGCCGCTGGCGTGTGAGCAGGTGCGCCTCGTGCCTGCCGCCGATTTCTTTGGCGCTGCGCGGCTCATCGTGCTGGTGTGGGACCAGACGCAGGGCCGCACCGGCCTTGGCCCACTCGACGCCTCTTTGCTGCTGCAGGATCCGCGCAGCAGCGTCTCGCAGCAGGCGATTGCGCTCACCATCAACGTGACTCCCGTGCCGGATGCGCCCATCATTGCTCAGGAGGATGCGGGCACAGCGTGGCCGTCGCCCACGGTGACGTTTGCAGAGGCACGATCGCCTGTGCACGTGTTCCCGAACGTGTCTATTGTGGACGTGGACAGCACCTCTGTGTCCCATGCCACGGTCACGCTGGTCAACGCCTCTGCAGGCAGCGACGTGCTTGTGATTGCGTTTGGCGCGGACGAGCAGCAAGTGGCGCCAGCGGTGGCTGACGACGAAGGCAGCCTGTGGCTCAACAACACGGCTGCTCGCACGGCGTGTGCTGGCATTGCCCTGTCGTACGCCGAACACAACGCACAGAACCAAACGCAGATGGTGGTGGACCGCACAGTGCTGACGCTGCGTGCAAACACGAGCTCGCAGGCGAGCGTTCCACTGAGTGTGATGGTGTACTGCTTGCGACATGTGGCCTTCGCCTCCACGGCCTTTGAAGCGAGCCTGCAGGCACGCTCGGCCGTGCTCACCGTGTATGACTTTGACGAGAGCCGCTTCAGACCCAGCAACCTGTCTGCAAAAGCCGCGACGACGGTGCTGATTGAGTTGACAAACGACGAGGCGCCCGTGCTGTCCTTTGCATCGGAACTCGACGCCAACCGCACGTACACGGAGCCATCGCAGGCGCTGGGCGAACCAACACCGCAGCTGGCCGTGCTGCCTTCCATCGTGGTCAGCGACGCGGACGCAGGCTTCCCGCTGGCAGCCGCAACCGTTGAGCTCGTGGCTGGCACTGTGCAGGACAGTGGCGATGAGGAACTGCGTGTTGACGGCGCTGCGAGCGGCCGATCGCTCGTGCTGCCGTCCGGGTCTGTAGCAGATGTGCAAGCGCGCCTGCGCCGGGTGGTTTACGTGAACACGCGCGCAGAGCCAACCCCTGGTGTGCGCGTGGTTCGCGTGCGTGTGCACGATGGAACCTTCCAAAGCAACGTGCTTGAGGTGCGCGTGCGTGTGGTGACCATCAACGACCGCGCAGCCACGCTGTTTGTTGGGGATGGCAGCCCGTTTTACCAGACCTCGTTTACAGAGGACAGCGCTGGTGTGGCCATTGTCTCCCCGAACCTGCAGTTCTTCGACTTTGACAACGCCGTGTACCCGCTGCTGGGCGTGACGGCCTGTATTAACGAGCACACCACGGGCTCCGCGGGCGCGCAGCAGGCAATTGTTGCTGCGCCAACGTGGGACAACACGTCCACCACCACCATTTCGCCAGGCAACAACAACGCATGCGTGCGTGTGCACAGCACGAGCGGGGCTGTGGCCGATTACCGCCAAGCGCTGCTGGCGCTGCGGTATGTGAACACGGAGGAGGAGTTTACGGGCGCCTCACGCACCATCTCCTTCACGGTGGAGGATGTGCCTGGGGTAACCACGATGACGGTTACGGTGATTACGCTCGTGCGCGTGAATGACGCGCCCATCATCGCATTCTCTGGCTTCACCAACGGCAGTTCAATGCTGCAGAGCGTGCGCTTCCGCGAGGGTAGCTCGCCGACGCCTGCGCTTCCGGGCGTGGTTGCCAGCGACACGGACTCCACGTTCCTGACGGGCGCCTTTGTGACGCTCGTGTCTGCGCCGGATGGCGACAGCGACGTGCTGACGGTGCTTGACCTACCAACAAGTGCCGGCCTCAGCGCTGTGTTCTGCTCTGCCAGTGGGGTTGCTCTTCCCGTGAACGGCACCGTTCCCGCTGGTGTGTGGGACGGCAACGGCATGGTGCTTGAGTCGTGCACTTCTCGACGCACGCTGGGCATCAGGGGTCTGGCCCGCGTGCACGTGTACGAGCAGGTGCTACGCTCGGTCGCGTACGTGAATCTGCTTGGACTGGATGAGCGCGCCGGAAACCCAACGCGGGACACGCGCGTGGTCAGCTCGCAAGTTGTGGATGAGCAAGGGGCAGCAAGCGCCGCCATCAGGACCCTGGTGCTGCTTGAGCCTGTGAACAACGCACCCATTGTCTCGCTGACGGGGGATGACACGTTGCTGAGCGGCCGCGACGCCACCACCGCCTATGTCAACTACACGGAGGAAAGCGGTGTGCGCACGCTCTTCCCCGCCGCATCAGTTGTTGACGTGGACTCAGCGAACCTCACATGGCTCTCTGTGACGCTTGTGGACCGTCCAGACGGCAGTGCGGAAGAGCTGGCCTTCTCATCAGCTGCGCTGGCAAATGCGGCGTTTACGTCCGCGGCTCAGCGCGGGCACGTGGTCTCTGTGCAAGGCACTGCACCGGTGAGCGCTTTCGAGGACGTGCTTCAATCGCTGACATATGAAAACAGCGTGGACAACCCGGACATGCGTGACCGCCGCGTTGATGTTGTTGCCTCGGATGGCATCAACACAACGCTCGTGCACGCCATCCTCCAGTTTCAGGCCGTGAACGACCCACCTGTTGTTCACCTGCGTGGAGCTGTGAACGGCAGCAGCGCTGTGCAGCTGTCGTTCGTGGAGGACGCTGGCCTGCCTGTGAGCCTGACTGGCACACGGTCGCCTGCGTGGGAAGGCGAGTATCCCTTGACGAACAGCACCTGTCCGCTGTCGTGCGACTGCTGCTTGTCGGGCTCGCTTGTGGTTGACCCCGCCACAAGTGCCGCAACGTCATCGCTGCACAACATCACCATCAGCATCGACAGCGTCGCTGAGCTTCAGACCATCTGCACCGGGTATGCTGTTGGTGTGTGTGTGTGGGGGGGGGGTGTTGTTGGTTAGTTTGTGTGTGTGTGTGTGTGTGTGTGTGTGTGTGTGTGTGTGTGTGTGTGTGTGTGTGTGTGTGTGTGTGATCGTGAGGGTATAAGTTTGTCACACTCATGTCATCACCGGCCCTTGTCACTTTCACATGCGCAGGTACTTTGGCGGCTATCCCACGGCGTCGCTGGTGGGGACTGTTCACAATGCAACACACATCACAGCCCCTCTGCCTGGCCTGCAAGGTGGCAATGTCGTGTGCGAGCGATCGTTCCCAGAAGATGCCGTGGATGGCACCCGTCCGAGCATCAAGTGCTCCGTGTCAGCGACGTGTCCAACCACATCCTTCAACGGCCAATGCAACTCAACCTCTTGCGGTCAGTGCAATGCAAACAAGCGAACCAAGCGTCCATGCTGTGACACCCACGCCTGTTTGCACACGTGGCGCACATATTCACGCACACAAACAAACAAACACACGCGCGCACACACACACACATACATGCACGCACACACACACACACATACACAAACACGCACAAACACACACAAACGCACACACACACACACATACACAAACACGCACAAACACACACAAACGCACACACACACATTTGCACACAACTGAACCTCCCACACTTCCTCACCCCCTCTCCCTTCTTCGCCCACTCCCTACACACACACACACACACACACACACACACACACACACACACACACACACACACACACACACACACACACACACACACACGCATGCACGTACGACAGGAGTCCGCTCTGTGGTTGACATCACGGATGAGGACAACACTGAGCTGAGCGGCATGTGGATGAGCATTCGTGCGCGCGTGTCACTGGAGGGCGATGCAATTGAATGCGGTGCAGCCGCGACGTCATTCAACCTGGCGCTTGTTGCCATCAACGACACCGTTGATGTTGACGACGCGACCATTCGCGTGCGCACGTACTGGGTTGCGCCTGCGACAGCACAATCAGCGCCGCTGGCAAGCTTCCAGGCATACCTCGCATCATGTGGATACGTCAATGTGGCGGCTGAGCCGTTTGCGGGCACGCGCAACATCAGCGTCGTCGTATGTGATGGCACGGACAACAGCGTGCCTGCCCCGGTTACCGTGGAGGTGGTGACCATCAACGACAACACCCCCGTCTTTGATGTGCCAGTGTACTTGGCCAACATCTCCGAGGCAGCCAGCGTGGGCTCGCACCTGCTCACCGTGCGCGCGACAGACGCCGACAGGCAGACCGTGACATACAGCCTCAACCATACGCGCTTTGGCGTGGACAGCGCCACGGGCGAGATCCGCACCACCTCGCGCTTAGACCGCGAAACAAGCGCTGCCACGGTGCTTCGGGTCACAGCAAGCGACGGCGAACGCTCAGCGGTTGTCCTTGTGCACGTGACCGTGCTGGATGTCAACGACAACAAGCCCGTGTTCTCAGAGACGCGCTTTGTTGGCATCATTGCAGAGGACGCAGCTGGCGGCGACACCGTGCTCGAGTTCAACACGTTTGGCAACCTGCCCCTCTTTCTCACGGCCACGGACGCAGATGCAGCGGCGAACGCCCGCATCTCGTACTCGCTCGCCGGCCCCGCCAGCGCACTATTTGAGGTGGACTCAGCGTCCGCTCAACTGCGCCTGAAGGCAGGCGCTGCGAGCCCGCTGGACTACGAAACGCGCCGATCCTATGTCTTTGTTGTCCTTGCGCAAGATGCTGGAACGCCGACCCGCTTTGCCGATCCCGCTGTGGTTGAGGTCCTCATTCGCGACGTGAACGACAACGCGCCCGTCTTTGACGGCGCGTCTCTCAATGACGTTGTCACGAGCGAAGCATCGCCTGTTGGCACTGTGCTGCGGCAAGTGGTTGCACATGATGCAGACGACAACGCCAACGGCCAGGTCCGCTTTGGCCTGCACGACACCACCACCGCAAGTGGCGGCGGCAGTACCGTTGCCACTGTTGGGCCCTTCACCATGTACGGCAACGGCTCGCTCGTGCTGACGCAGCCGCTTGACTACGAGGTGCAGCAGACGTACACGCTGACGGTGGTGGCAACAGATGGGAGCACGACGCAGGCCCAGCACACACTGGCCAACCTCACTGTGCAGGTGTTGGACGCAAACGACAACTGCCCCACGTTCACTGTGACGCCAGAGCAGGCGTCGTTCGCTGAGGACGCTGGACCAGAGCGCCTGCTGGCCACTGTCTCCATCGCAGACGCAGATGCTGCAGCCACAAACAACATCACCTTGACGGCGTGGCGTGCCGGCAACAACGGCCAAGCAAGTGCCAGCGATCGCCCAGCAGTAGTGCAGACGGGGGAATCAGTGTACCAGGTGCTGTTGGGTGGCCTTGTTCTGGACAGGGAGCAAGCGGCAAGCGTGGATGTGGTGCTGCTTGTGAGCGATGGCGTATGCAAGGTCAACCGCACGTTTGCGCTGACGGTGACAGATGTGAACGACAACGCCCCGGTGCCCGACAGCACGTTCGTTCGCGCGTCTGTGCTTGAGAACCTGCCTGCAGGCACGCTGGTGACGGTGCTCAACGCGAGCGACGCGGATGCTGGTGTCAACGGGCGCGTGGTGTTCTTCCTTGCTGGCGCGAGCAACAGCTCCAACCCTTATGTGGAGGTGACTGGCACGGGCGAGGTGCGCACGCTCAGGCAGCTGAACCGGGAGGCCTTGCAGCAAATCACGCTCGTTGTGGGCATGACGGATACGGGGGTGCCACAGCGCCGCCTCAGCGCCACACCCATCACGCTCGTGATCACGATCCTGGACGAGAACGACAACAGCCCGCAGGTGATTTCGCCAGGCAGCAGCGTGGTGTTCCCGGAGAACAACGCCGTTGGTGCGCTCATCACCACCGTGGTTGCACGCGACGCAGACGCGGGCGCAAACGGGGAGCTGACGTTCTCGCTTATTGGCGGCAACGACGGCGGTGAGTTTGAGCTGGACGCCAACACGGGCGAGCTGTTTGCGGCGGTGAAGTTCGACAGGGAGACGCAGCACCTGTACGCAGTGCTGGTGCGCGTGTCGGACAAGGGCACGCCGTCCCGCAGCACGCCCATGCCGATTGCCATCATCATTGGCGACGTGAACGAGCCACCAGTGATCACGGCACCCGCACCGCTGTCCACCGTGAACGTGAAAGAAGGCCTCCCCGTCGGCATGCTTGTGTTTTCGGTGCAGTCGACAGACCCAGACACCTCCGGCAGCAACACGAACGTGTATGAGCTGGAGACGACCCCCAGTGGGTACCTGGCCATTGACGAGGTGACTGGCGACGTGACCATGGCCACCGTGGTTGACGTGGACGTGCTTGGTGCCCCGCTGGTGCTGACGGCGACGGCGATTGCCCACGACCGCAGCAACGCCTCCCTGTTTGCTGCTGTGCGCTTCACCGTCCGCTTCGTGGATGCGAATGACCACCAGCCCGTGTTCTCGCTGCAGCCGGTGCAGGTGTCGGAAGCCGTCGCGCCAGGCACACCCGTGCTTGAGGTGCAGGCCACAGATGCGGACATCACGTCCGCCAACACGGGCCTGCGATATGCGGTTGTCTCGACAACGGCACCGGGCACGGCGCCCGTGGCCTTCCTCGCCGCAGACTCGCCCGTGCTGGTCACCACATCAAGTCTGGACTATGAGACGGCTGCAAACTTCTCGGCCGTGATTCGCGTGTCTGATACGGGCTCACCGTCCCTCTCCACCACGCACGTGCTGCAGGTGACAGTGCTTGATGTGAACGACGAGGCGCCCGTGTTCACGCCCGCAAACGTCGCCGTGTCCGTGCCAGAGAACGTGCCTGGTGTTGAGCTGGTGCGCCTGCACGCGTGGGATCGCGATACGGGTGCTGGCGGTGCTGTGTTCTTCTCGCTGGTCAACGGCAGCTCGTTTGCGAGCGTGAACGCCACCTCTGGCGTGCTCACACTGGAGAGTGCGCTGGATGCGGAGGCAGCGCAGACTGTCCGCGTCCTCGTTCGGGCGACCGATGGCGCAGTGCCTTTCAACACACGGGACAGCGTGATTACGATCCACGTTGAGGACGTCAACGACAACGCTCCTGTTGTCACGGCGGACAGAAACCCCGTGGAGATTGCAGAAGGCCGCTACACTGCCCATGTGCTCTTCAATCTGAGCGCGTCAGACGCGGACGTTGGCAGTGCGGCGTCGCAGGTGCGCTTCTCCCTCGTGTCGAGCGACGGGTTCCCTGGCGGCGTGTACGTGGACGCGGTGACCGGCGCTGTTCGCACGGCCACTGCCAGTGCTGGTGGGTCCGTGCTGGATTACGAGCAGCGTACCTCATACGTGCTGACATTCCTGGCAAGCGATCAGGGCAGCCCTGCCCTCTCGTCAACCATCAGCGTCACTGTCAATGTCACGGATGTCAATGACAACGCGCCCGTGATCACGTCCTCGCCGCCCGCGACGCTGGGCGTCCTGGAAAGCACCGCTATTGGCCATGTTCTCTTCAGCATCACGGCCACGGACGCAGACAGTGGTGAGAACGGCCGCGTGATGTTCACGAGCGCCACGCCGGCCGTCGTTTCTGTGACCAGTGGTGGGCAGGTTCGCCTGGCGCAGAAGCTGGACCGGGAAACGCGTGATGAATGGGACGTGGCCATCCTTGTGGCCGACAGCGGCGCGCCGCCGCGTCGCGTGTGGGTGAACGTGACGCTGCGGGTGCTTGATGTCAACGACAACGCGCCCGTGTTCTGCTCGCTGGATTCCCTGACCACATGCACACCCATCACGGTGCTGAACGTGACGGTGCGCGAGCTTGCGGTTGGAAACTTCACCATCCGCACGACAGATGCCGATGCACCCGGCGTGAACAGCGCCGCGCGCTACTCTGGCTTTGGCGACCCACGTGTGTCCATCAACCAGCTCTCTGGCTTGGTGTCGTACAATGCGCTCACGTACGAGTCAAACAGTCCCGTTGTCACTTACACAGTCTACGCGAGTGACCTTGGCTCTCCGCGCTTCATCTCCCAGCTGACCATTCGCTTCTCCATCACCGACATCAACAACAACCCGCCCACGTAAGTGATGCGTTTGCTGTGTGTGTCTTGTGTTGCGTGTGTTGATGTTCGTGCTGTGTGCTTGCGGGGTTTGTGTGTGTGTGTGTATATATGTGTGTGTGTGTGTGCTTTTGTGGGTGTATGTGTGTGTGTGTCTTGTGTTGTGCGTGTGTGTGTGTCTTGTGTTGTCTATGTACGTAACGTGCAAGGCATATCCTGCGCAAGACATGTCATATTATTGTGTGTGTGGTCAATGTACATGCTTCTTCTGCCAAGTTGACGCCTCACCTGCTGTGTCATGTGTTATGTTTGACCAAACAGGGCGTCGCTTGGTGACTTCCGCTACCTGGTGGGGCGACAAGACATGGTCGTGCTCACGTCGCTACAGGTGCAGGACGCGGACACGCAATCTCCTCTGGAGCGGGCACAGGTGAACATGACGCGAACGCGCACGTGCAGCGAATGCGCAGGCGCGTTCTTTGTTGAACTGACGCCGCAAATGATCCCTGCAAACGGCGCCACGCGCAACGCCGACTACGACAGCGTTGAATTCGCTGGATCCGGGCAGTACGCGTCACTGGACGAGACCTTCTCCTATCCAACGTTCCCACAGAACGAACTGGGCGACATTGCGGCCATTTCCTTCTCGCTCGTGTTCCGGCTGGAGGATGGCGCATCTGGCTTTCTCATCAGCCGCTCCATCCTCAACCAGCACGCGCCCGCGTACTCGCTCTGGGCAACGTCGCAGCAGCTGGCCTTTGTCTACAACGCTGAGGGCGACACTGCGCTTGTGCAGGCCGGGGATGTTCAGCTCTACCGCATCGAGTTTGATCTAGCAGAGCCCATTGACGACAACGAGTGGCACCATGTGTCTGTCCGCCTCATCTTCCCAACAACGCTTGATGTGCGTCGTGTGTGTGTATGTGTGCGTGCGTGCGTGCGTGTGTGTGTGTGTGTGTGTGTGTGTGTGTGTGTGTGTGTATGTATGTGAGTGAGTGTGTGTGTGTGCGTTGTGCAAAGACATGCGCCATGTGTTCATCACTCACAACTTTATTGTTCATCACTGCCCCAACACCTCACATTTCCATCGCACATCTGCTTCGAATCTTCTCTTCCCTATCCCATCCTTCCCCTGCTCCGCCTTTGCAAAACCAAAACACAAATCACCAGGTTGAGGTTGACGGCGCTGTCGTTGCTGCTGCTCGCGTCATTCGCCCGGACGGCAGTACATCAACTTCCCCGCTGCCGCTGACGCAGACGCCAATCGACAACACCAACGCAGTCACATACCTCGGTCCGTTCTATGGGCCTGTGTTGCAGTCTTACTCCTTGTTCGTTCAAGCCACAAGCACACGCACACACACACTCACACACATACACTCGCGCGTACATGAAGACATGTACACCACACACTCAGAACAAAAGCAAACGCAAGTACGTACATACACCCTTTCATTCCTTATCTCTTAACGCATGCACTGCCTGGTGATGCAATGTGCGTTGCGCGTACTTGCCTCCCCACAGGTGCACGATTTGACCCCAGCGCGGGTGCGACTGAGTCCATCACTGGTGCTGTGCGCAGCGTGTTTCTTGGCAACGAGACGTGGCCGACTGCACTTGCGCGCTGTCTTGGTGCTTGTCACCAAGGCATCCGCGTGGATGTCGATTCCAACTCTGGCATCACCGCAACACGAGCCAGCATTGATGCAACCACAACCCAGATTACGCTTTCTGGCTCTGCCTCCATTGCCACCTACACGCAAGCACTCCTGGTGAGTTTGTGTGTGTGTGTGTGTGTGTGTGTGTGTGCGTGTGTGTATGTGTGTGTGTGTGCGTGTGTGTGTGTGTGTGTGTGTGTGTGTGTGTGTGTGTGTGTGTGTGTGTGT